TGATAAAGGCTGCAAAGAAGAACATGGGACTGTTCATGTACTTAAACACCATGTTGAAGGAAAAGTGGGATGTTCTAAACTAAAACTGATAGGAAAGGCACCCCAGTTGCCCTAAGTTTCGTTTACATTCTCTGGCTGAAACAATATTTAACTTCACAATCAAAAGGTGCAGATACTCTAGCTGCCACTTTGATTTTAATCAAGCATAACAAACCAGATCTTTCCTCATTCATGGTTCAAAGCCTGAGATTCTTTTAGTCTCTAGATTGAATCTAACTGATAAGACACAAAGTTGTGTCAGGATTGGGTGGGTTTTTTGTTTGCATTTCTTATTATATCTAATTCTATGCAAAGAGAGTATACATGAGCAGCCTTGGAAGCTGTGCTACTGATCTCTTTATTTTGACAGTATATAGGACTATCAGTGCCTATCTAGTTGCTAGGAAAAAAAGCCCTGCCCCTCCTCCTACATATAGCAGGTACCCTTGCTCTGGGTGGTTTCCTAATGATACAAACATCCTCAGTACAATAGTCTTAGTTCAAGGAAGAAAGAAAAGGCAGACTCTAGCCATTAAATTAGAATTTATATTCACATAAGAACAGCACTTCTTCCCACTGTAGAATCACCGAGATGGGATGTATCATTTTGTCACAACTGAGTTATATGCTCAGAGGCAGTATTTCTCAATCTTGGCAAGTTTAAGATGTGTGAGAAACATTGGCCTAGATTTACATTGGTCTTTTACAGTTGAATAAATGGAATAAACAGGACCCAGTATAAAATGGGAATTATAACAGAATCCATTAAGAGTGCAAAGTTATAACAAGGGACTTAGAAATAGCTCCATCTCATTATTATTAAGCCAGGGTCCCAGATCTAATCCAGAGTTAGATTTTCTTTCGTTTGTTTTAAAGATCTGGCAACTTTACAAAAGAAAAATTGACAAGTAATTCATCCTTGTATTTAAATGAAAAAAAAAAACTCCCTAAACTGTAGGTATTAATAACAGTTTAAGGTAATTAAAACATGAATTTGCCCTAGAACTATTTTTAAAACTATTTTTTTCATATATGATTGTGAGAATGTGAAGTGCCATCTCTATATTCCTTTCCTAAAATTTTATTGGAACTTTACTTCCTGTCACAATCAGCTGTTAAGTATGAACAAAAATAAAATCCTGTCTCCCTCCACCAGCTACGGTTGCAATCCTATACCTGAATATAACTCACATTGAAAATAGAGACACCCTTTTTAATAAACATAGATAGGATTTAGTGATTACTTGACATTCAGAAGGAAGTATCTGTGTACATAAATACCTGTGACCATAATGTGCATATGTGTGCAGATGCTGGAGGGGTTTTGTACCATCATTTTTCACTCCTAATGACCACATAGATATGATGGATAGAGGTAATAAAGATATAAAACAATTTATATGCAAGGTTCATACCTTAAACATGCCATGCATTTTGAAATGAGCATATACTCATTTCAATCATCAATCTGTGTATTTAGTAGAGAATATCAATTATTTCATGGCATAGCAGTCTTTAAAAACAAACATTTTACAAAGGAAACTTTTCCTGCCTATCCCAACATTTTCCTTTTCTTTTTGTCTTAATATTGAATATCTCTATCTTTTTCTGAGTTAAAGTCCACAGGCTGTTGCTGGCCCATTTTTTTCCTCCAGCTTCTGAAATTCAAAACACATTTACTTGAAAGCAGCTCCTGCTAAAAAGAATAAGAAAGAAGCAATTAACCACATAAGACAGTGATCCTGCTCATTTCGATAAGGTTTGCCTAAGAGAAGTCTTCTGTACTTTATAAGTGACCCCAGTTTTTAAAAGTTATCTACAAATACCCAGCTAGCATTGTTCTGAAAAGCAGTGGTTCTTGTTTTTGTTGTGGAAAAGTGATGGAGAAGAATCAGCGGGACCTGAATGGATGGATGCATGCAGGTTCTACAATATTACATCTCTCCGTCCCACCATCCATCCTCATGCATCTATCCACCTTAAGACTCTATGCCCCATTTTTATCATCAGCCAATTAGTGAACCCTGGAGGATATTCTGGGTCAAACTACAGCAAGTGTCTTGAATCCTCATTAACACTAATTAGTACTTGGTAGGTTAATTGGTGGTGAATCTCATCTTTTTTTAATTACTCCAACAAATAGACAGTGGGACCCTGTGGTCAGGATTGAATTATTCTGTTTGTTTTGATGATCTTCCTCTGAATGTGTCAAGACAGATGTTGCTTGCCCAAGCTTAGGGATCCATTGCTTTGGGGGAAGGAAAGGAATGGGTCTATAAGACAAAAAAAAAAAAAAAAAAACGGCTGTTAATTGTGAACTTGGGTGATGCCCTGGAATTTTTATTCCCATCCCATTCTCTTTCCTTGGTGAAATTGGAAGAATTCATCATCTCGGCATAGAAAATCATCATTAAAAGTGAAATTTCCCAATGTTTTTCCTCTTTGTTACTCCATTATATTTCATAAGCTATAGAAACAAAGATAAAGACTTTCTTGAGTCAGATTTATTTCCTAGTAGATACCAGAACATGTCCATGTAGTTTTCTGTGCAACAGTACAGAAGTGGTGTGCTATAACATTCTTCCAAGTTTTTTTTAAACATGAAAAAAAAATCTGATAAAAGGTAAATGATGCCCAATATCCAAGCAGAAAATTACAATTTTCAGAAATATTTTGTAGACAAGGAAGATTTTCCAGATTGTTTTAAAGACCTTTACCCCTTCTGTTGTTGTTGTTATTACTGTTGTTGTTGTTGTTGTTGTTATTCCTGCATCTCTGTTATTCTGCTATCTTGTTTATGTAAAAACTAGTTCAGGATTGAGGTTTGTCACCTAAAGAAAAGAGCAACATGTACTAGAAGTTATCATGGGGACTTTTGATGGATTAGGTGATGCTTGATGATATATTTTGTGGCATTTTATTGAGACTTGTGTATATTGTGTATCAATTCAATAAGGCTTTATGAATCATTGTCATAAGCAGTCCATTCTCCATGATACCCAAGGGAAAAACACTTGTATGGCTGCAGAGGAATATACTCTTGCATAATTTGGAGGCTGATTAGTGGCAAGAAGAGGACTTTAAATACTGCTTTATACTGAGCTCCTGAAAAATATATTTATTCTTGCATGCTTTATGCAGGTTTCTGGGCTTATGTTTTATCTTATTTGTGAGAAAATTGCAGATACAGTTTACATGATATACTGTGGACATATTAATGAGTTGGTTTTTCTACTGGAAGAAAAACGCTATGGGTTTAGGCAGGGCCATTTTCATGACATGAATTGTTTAGAGTACTTCTCTAATATGTTTATTGTTAGTTTAATGGAGAAAGAAAATTATATATTTGAACCAGAAAGGAAACAGAAGAACAGAGTTGTCCTGTATTTGGCCGAAGATGGATTAATCCAGCATCCTGTTTCCCACAGGACTTATGAAATGGATACAAATAGACAAGAAAAACTAGTCATGTCCCTCTCAATGAATGTATCAATATCCTGTTAAAACCATCCAGAATGGTACCTACCATTACATCTTCAATAACTTCCACAAAACAATTATGTGAGGGTCAATAAGTTCTTAAGAGCTGTGGTGGTGCAATGGTTAGAATGCAGTATTGCCATCTAACTCATTATTCACTGTCAGAATTTCGATTCTCAACGGCTCAGGGTTGACTCAGATTTCCATCTTTCCGAGGTCAGTAAAATGAGGGGGCAATATGCTGACTCTGTAAACTGTTTAGAGAGGACCGTAAAGCGCTGTGAAGCAGTATATAAGTCTAAGTGCTCTTGCTATTCTATCTACATTGACTCTCCCACTGTCAAACTTCACTGAGTGATCACAGGTTTTAATACAATGAGATATTGCAAAAACTTTTCCCCACATTAGCCCTAATATGTATTAAAGAAAACCTTTTTCTCATGGGAACCCTAATCTTCTTTTAGGGGGGATGTATTTCCAGACACAGCTCTGGACTACATCTTCCTTTTTTCATTTTCCAATGAGCTCAGCAGAATCCTTAGCAAGTTTTCTTTCTAGTTTAGTATTGCTGCTTTTGTTAAGAATAATAAAAACATAGTTTTTCTTTTATCAGTGTGGCTTCAACTTTCATGTACAGATAGTTCTAGACTTACAGCAGTTCATTTAGTGATTATTTGAAGATACAACTTCACTGAAAAAAGTGACTTATGACCATTTTTCACATTTATGACCATTACAGCATCCTCATGGTCACGTGACCAAGATTTGGGTGCTTAGCAAGTGGTTCATATTTATGATGGTTACAGTGTCCCCAGATCATGTGAACACCTTTTGCAGCCTTCTGACAAGCAAAGTCAATGAGCAAACCAGATTTCACTTAACAACCAGGTTATACACTTAACAACTGCAATGATTCACTTAACAACTGGGGCAAGAAAATGGGGCAAAACTCACTTAACAAATGTCTCATTTAGCAACATAAATTTTGGGTTCAATTATGGTCATAAGTTGAGGACTACTTGTATAAGCCCCAGACCCATAAGCATACTGTGCTGTTCCTGTGTAATTAGTTAGCATTTGTGTTTGAGCTGACTGAATGTGCCTGTGCATGAAATGAAAAACAAAAAAGGCATTTCTTATAATTAGATCATCATCATCATCATTATATCCAAGATGAGTAGATCTGAGCAGGACCAAATACAAGTATAACACATATATTACCATGTTTTATAATACTTTGTGCTGCCTTTTCCTTTTACGGTAGGCTTGACACCAAAGCATGCAATGCAATCTTCTGGAACCTTAATGTTAACTTGAAATACTAAATCTGTACATCCACATACTGAGAGGACATTAGAATTCATTAAGTTCTTGTTTATTCTAAAAGTGTATTAGAAGAATGGAAAGAACAAGCTCTGCTCTGTCACAATGAATTTCAAATTTTTAAGAGGGCGCTTCATAATCTACCTTTTGTCTTGCAGCATGAATGAACGTGACCATTTGTTAAAAAGGCTGGGCCGAAAGACCCCTCCATGCCTCTTCCGTGCTCATTCCGTCCAGCAAGGAGTGTCACGTAAGTATTATAACATGTGTAGAGAGTCTCAGTTCTGAAATACCACAGAAGTAAAAGTCTGCCTTGTAAAAACTCTGTGGAAAAGTACACACAAGCAATACATGGCACTTTATGTGCAAATCAATGTTTTGTGTAACTTCGCAAAACAAAGATTAGATTCCAAGAAGAACTTGATCAAAAAATAATGTACAATTGTAATTGTAATTAGTGTATGTTTTCCAAAAATTTAAGTAGATGTCAATGTTTGCAAAATCTTTTCATTTTCCATCTCCCACTCTTTTTATTAGGAGAAACATCCCAATGAAACTATTTTTTTAAACTGTTATTGTATTTGTAAGCTATTGCTAGTGAAGTATAGCACATATGAAAGGGTTTTTAAATGAAGCCTTTGTATGGCAGAATTACACATTTGTTTTACAATTTTCAGATATGGATTGTAATTTTTTTAACCTGGCAATCTCATTGCATTCTGGTTTAGGTACTGCTTCAGTGAAATAAACTTCAGATAATTTCCTTAGCATTAATTAATATACATCTTGATTTTTTTTCATACGTAACTGCCCCCATTATGTTACTGAGATTGGTTGGGGATCCATGGCTAGTTGAAAAACTCAGAAAACAACAGCATAATTATTGCTCCTTGAGATCTGAGTTCCTATCTGCCCTTAGGGAAGAGTTAGTGTTAGATACATAGGCTTCAGAAAGGTTTTTTTTTAATGAAGTGTTCCAGAGCTAATTGTGTGAATTCTGATGAATTTAATTGCCCTTCTTCCATAATTTCTTGCATTTATAACCTTCTTTTCCTTCAAGAATCACAATACCCTATCATTTTCTTCCATGTTATTCTTATAAGGGTTACATATGTTGAGAAAAAGTAACTGGTTAGTGATGGATTTGAAAGAGTACGTGTCTCCCACTAAACAGCAGTTTTGCTCTTACCCTTTTAAAATAATGGCTCTTCATGATGTTGCCTTTGTCTCATCCCCAATTCATTAGACAGAAGCAGTTTAAAGGGTATTTAGCAGTTTTTGTTTTGATGTTAGGTTTTTCTTTTTCTTCCAACACAATGGTTTTGCTGTTTTGTGATCAATAATGGTACAATCTACCATCTCCTATTGGATACTGCTGGTTATGAGTAGGTATTCTTTCAGTCACTGGATACTTCCCATTCAACAGAAAAGAGTACATACCTAGCTTTGGAAGAGACATCTGTCCACTTCAGAAAGCATCAAAGAGGCATGGCACAGGCTCTTACATACTCCAGCTTCTATTGTCTTCTGTTGAACAAATACTTAATCTGTTTTTAAATACAGGTTCAGTGCTTTTTTGAAAGAATGTTTTACTTCTGTTTTTTTTTAAAAAAAAAAAAGTTTAACATTTTTTTCAGGCAGGATATATGTTATAATTATTGATTGGTATTTTTGTAAACAACGATGACTCTGAATGAATTTAGTGGCATAAAGAATCAATCAGTCAATCAATTTGATTTGAATAGATGGGGTTTTTTTGGGGGGAAGGAATCTTTCCCCCTCTGAAGGCCCAGCTTGATTTGCCCCAAAACTAAACTCTTTCTTTATCAACTTTTCCCCACACACCAAATATAATGCTACTCTCTTAACTTTTCAGAGATTTAGCATGCTTCAGGCAGGCAGAATCCTGAAAACCTTTATATAATTTATTTCCAATGTTTTATTTGGGTTGATAAAATAGATTGAAATAGAAATCTTCAAATTCTCCTACTGTTTTTGTATTGAGTCTTAATCTGCCATGGAGTGGCCCTCACCCTCCACAAAAGGTGGTGTGTGATATAAAATATTCACCCTTATACAGAAACCTGCAGTAAACCATTCCTGAATTAAGTTTGCTGGAGCTGGACTTGATTCTAGCATTTGGAAAAACAAGGGAGCTGCTTCAGAGAGCTGTTACTGGAGGGCACTGCAGTAAAGGGGAACACAGCTCCGTTGCTATACTCAATTTGCCCTGGCCTTTGAAAACTACCCTGCTGCCTTTAGCTATAGAAGAGGAATTAGAATCAGGATTAGAAAAAAAAAAAAAAAGGTCTTTACACATGCCCTATATGGCTTCTTGTATTCTTGTATTTCTGCGCATCTCACATATGGGATTCCAGTTCAGAAGTTATTTGCAGATGCTGTATATACAAATGTAAATTAATCACTGATGGTTTGTACCTTCACCTTTTAGTTCTGCACTGGTTCCAGAGTAGATTCACTCCTCTTTATCATGACTGTCCATGGTTGAGTGAAATTTGAGAGACTGCCAGAACAAAAATCCATGCATGAGGGGGGGGAGAGAGACTATTCCAGCCCATGAAAGAGCAGCAGAGAAAGACCTTGTGCTCACCGATATTCTCTATAAGGTTGCCAAAGTCGTCCCATAACATTTACTAGGTTGCTGAGCCAAAGAAAGAAAAGGGCATCCATTCAATTCTGTTAGCTAATCCCTCATAAGTATTAATTATGAAGAATTGTTAAAGGAGCCAGTCCAGGTTCAGAATAATTGCAATCATCAGTCTGTTTTTCTCATTACCATAAATTTTCATTGTAGTTTTAAAGCTCTTTTAAAAAAATATTTAATACTGATCCATAGTCCTCAGTAACTTCAATTACTCCTTGTCAAATAATGTTATAGTACAGAATACAAGAAAGGGGGAAAAATAAACAGTAGATTCCTTTTAACAAACAGCAGCTTACATCAAAAGAACTTTGTATTATATTGGAGATGGGCTATCTCAGGGGTAGGCAACCTCGGCTCTTTTATGATTCATGGACTTCAACTCCCAGAATTCCTGAGTCAGCTACCCCTGAGCTATCTGTTTCTATGAGCAATTTTATGTTCGCAGAGAGATCTTTTGCCACCTATTTGGTTCTGTGCTCTGCAAGAGAATCTCCCGCCAAGAATCTTGTAATTAAAAAAAATTAAGCAGGAAGCTAATATTCAGCAGACCACCAGTCTTCAGTATTATTTTTATTTCTAACAACCTTTTGGGGGCTGTGAAGACCTATTGGCATTCTTGGAAAATAAAAAAATTGAGTGGTGGGGAAGGAGAGGAATGGCTGAGGGGCTTTGATTTTAAAAAAGGATAAAAATCTAAAGAAAAAAACTATTCAGAAAACAGACAAAAATAAGCTGGAGTGGTAAGGGCTAATTAGGAGTAGTCTGAGTAGTTTGTCTCCTGGTAAATGGATATTTTGTGCTTGGCCATACCTGCCATAGCAGCTATTTTGTGACTAAGCATGCCCTTCTTCCCATGGCTGCCATTTTGAAGGGCATCCCTGGAATGTTCACAAAGGCCATCAGCTGAAAAAGATTGACTGTATGCAAACACTCTGTAGGGTAAATTAGTATTTTTTGGGGAAAGGAGGATAGTTCCAGGGAGACTTGTAAGCTGAAGACAGAAAAGGAGAACTGTAATTTAATGCTGTATCCTGGAGTTTGCCTAATAATAGTAGTAACAATGAATTTGCATAGCACTGGATTCCCAGCAACTCTGGGCAGTAAGTAAGACAACATGGAGAAAATAATTTAAAAATACATCAGTAAAAACAGGGGAAAATGTGGCAAAACTGGGTAATATCAAAGAACAGACCTACATTCCCCAGAAAGAGGTTCATCCTCCTTTGCCAAAGACCTGGGTGAAGAGCTAGGTTTTCAAGGCCCTTTGAAACACCAGCAGAATGCCGGCTCTCCCAGTCGCAAGGGAACTTCATTCCAGAGGTCAGGGGCTATGACAGAGAAGACATAATTGCAGGGTCCTGATAGATAAGGTTGCTTAAGCAAATGGGCCCAGAGAGTACCAACTTTGCCAAACTGAATTGGCTGGCAGATGAGAGGTGGTCTTTTGAATAACCAAGTCTATGCCATATAGAACTTTACAGGAAACAACCAGCACCTTGAATCACAATTTGATGCAAACGGGCAACAAGTGCAGCCTATAAAGCAGGAGTATTAATAGGCATACAAAGGCATGCAGCATTCTGGAGTATATGAAACTTTCAGGTAGTCTTCAAGGACAGTCCCACGTAGAATGTATTGCAGCAGTAAGTTGTAGTTTGGGGAAATAGTTAAGAAAATCACTGGAGGGTTGGGTTATACTACATTCCAGGTTCTGTTGTAAATAGTATGTCCTGTTTTTAGCATATTAAAGAACAGGAGTGCAATTTTAATGGCTTTCCAAAATGCTTGACATGGTTGCCATCCTAAGCATTCAAATAAAAATTGATAGCAGGACTAAGTTTGATTCCTTACGCTGGCACCTGTTTGACATCAGTGTCAAATAGTGGGCTGCACAGTTAAATCCTGCTATATGGATTTTTCATTCTCAGCTACTGTATGAATAACAACAACAAGAACACTTTATGGTTTCCTGTGCATGAGAACATTTTCAAAATACACTGGAAGCATCTTAGGATTCATCTCAGAGCCAAACTATGTAAACCACAAATTATGACAAAGGCCAATTTACAGAGCTGTATCTTTCCTTTCTTCCTTTCTTCCTGCAGTCCCCAGTATCAGCAGACAAGCCCATCTTCCTTCTCTTCACCTGCCCTGCTGGGCATCTTTCCAACCTGTAATGATTGCAGGTGGTCAGAGCAATGGAAGTGATGACTCACAGAGACAGTTCATGCTTTGAGCACTTCCTGAAAGCTCAGGAGAAAGCAATGGACACAACTTTCATTGTGATGCATGAAAAGAGAAGGATGCCACAGTTGCAAGCACAGAGAAAATTGGACAGGAGGGGAGGAAAAGAGAAGCTAACTCTAGGACACGGGTGTCAAACTCGCCCTGTCACGTGACATGTCGCAACGTATCGTGACTTTTTTCACATTGGGGTGGGCGCGGCCTCCACATGATGCAACCAGCCCGCGGGCCGGCAGCTTGACACCCCTGTTCTAGGAAAGGTCAGGGGATCCCCTCTGCAGCAAAGTGCTTCACAACTTCTTTTTAAATTTACAAGATTGGGTGAGAGATTAAACAGCATTTAATTCAGTATTTATTTTTAATCTGTACTCAGGTTTTTTTAAAAAATCATGCATAGGTAGCCTTGGCATTTCAAACAGCTAGGGATAGAAAAGTGGGATTGAAGGGCTGATGGCAGCATTGATTGGTTCTGAAAACTAATGGAAAGGGGAGGTTAACGCATAGCAATTTAATTCTTATCTACTACAAAAAGTTTTTCCATGTTTATCACTTGCTCAGGTCTTAAACTTCAGAAGCTCTATCTTACAAAGTCAGTACTACATTGAAGATCTTTAATTGGTCCACAACTGAAAATCTATGGATCATTCCTTATCTAAGACATTTATTGTCAGGGGTCATTCTTTTTTTTTTTTTTCTTCCCATGATTGCAACCTCTGAATCATTCATGGTATAAATGGTCTCCTGGTGCTATTCTTTCTCAATGTTTAATTTTTCCCCAGGCTGCACTTAAAACAATGACCACAGTTGTTATATATTCCTGGATAAAGTAATAGACTAAATGAATGAATGAGTGTGTGTGTGTGTGTGTGTGTGTAGGCATTTGTGTTTTTTTTAATCTGTTCTTGAGTTGTAACTACCATTGGAAGCAGAACTTCCATCACTAAGCAATGCAGTTGTTAAGTGAGTTACAGTATGTCCAATTTTAGAGCCTCTGTTGCTGCAATCACCACAGCCGTTAAGTGAATCATGGTTGCTAAGTGAATCTGACTTTCCCCATTAACTTTGCTTGTTGGAAGCCACCTAGGAAAGTCACAAATAGCAATCATGTGACCCTTGGACACTGCAAATGTCATAAATACCCATTAGTTGCCAAGTACCCGAATTTTGATGATGTAACTATGGGGATATTGTGATGGTCATTAAGCGCAAGAACCCATTACAAGTCACTTTTTTTTAGTACCATTGTAATTTCAAATGACCACTAAATAAATGGCTGTAATTTGAGGACTACTTGTGTGTGTGTGTGTGTGTGTGTGTGTGTGTGTGTGTGTGTGTTTCAGCCGAGATTGGTTTCAAAGGATATTTGTCCCCTATTCAGTTGAAGTACTATCCATACATCTTTGCAGCAAGACCTTTACTGCCTCCATTGCTGATCCCTGTCCTATTTGTATTGTCTCCATTTCAAGTCACTGCAATCAATTGATTTCCCTCTTATTCCATCTTTGGAATTTGTCAATTTAAGGCAGAAGAGCCTACTTTAATATCACTAAACTACGGTTGACAAGTTTGTTTCATGTATGAGATGAGGACAAGATTAATACAGTATCATGGAGTGATAGTAGAACAAAAGTGTTACCAGGAGATGCTTTTGCTCTGTATTATTGAAAGTGAGGAAAGGCCTAAAATCTGGTTATGCAATAAGAGAGAAACAGAAGAAAAAAAGAAAAGAAATTACAACAGAATAAAACAAAATAAAAATTTACCAAGCAGGATAAGTGTGAAAAAGAGCGTTTGCACATCACCATCATGTCCAGTCCCTGATCTCCCCAATTTCCATTCTTTTGTTCATACCTGCCAATGTCCATATGCTAAGAACAAGGAGCAAAAATTATGCTCTGCCCCTTGGGGACCTATCTTAGATTAACAAAAGATCCTTTCATCCCTATATGCAAAAGGCATATAACTCAATTGCTTACAAAAATGCATATACCACATCTCTCTATGTTGTGTGGAATTTTAGTCATGTGGAGAAAAAAAATCTATTAGTTCCTGTGAGGGAAAGCTAAAGCTTCCAGCCTAGGATGTTTAGGGGACTGAGTCTGAGTAATTAAAAAATATATATATCTACAGTAGTGCAGATTAAGATAAACTGCAGAAGAAGCAGAAAAAAGAATTTGCTCCTCTCTCAAATGATAGTACAGAATCCTCACACGGAAGTACCTAAAGAGAATTTTTAAGTGAAAAGATGGTAGCAGGCCCAGCTTTCTCTAAACTAGTGTTTCTTAATCTCGGCAACTTTAAGACATATGGACTTCAAGTCCCAGAATTCCCTAGCCAGCCAGAATTCCACATGTCTTCAAAGTTGCCAAGGTTGAGAAACACTCTAAACCTTTCTCACACAGTACTTAAAAACTACCGTATGCATTGGTATATGACTCCTGTTCACCCTCAAAATAATGAATGTGGCACCATGTTCGTTATTAATGTTCCCTGAGCAGCAGTTATGTTTGAGGCACCATGGTTCCTCACTCTAGATTTGGTTCAGTTCTCCCAATATTTCTCTCTTGAGTTACAAACAAGGATGTAGGCATGTAGGATATTGAATTTGGGAGAAGACAAGTTTAATCTGCCAGTATCCCTGAGTTTTGTTCTATTGAATGAAGGGGCAGAAGGGAGATCATAATAATGATCCCTTCTGTTCCCTGTTATCCACATTACTCTGAAAGAACATTAGAAAAAGACTGCAGTTGTGTGGGCTGAACTGGGTTTAACTGCTTCTAATCTCCTCTCATATTGTATGCTCTCTTCATGGTTGTTAAAGAAACAAACTGTAACCTCTCTCTGACTCCAAATCTCTTTCCTCTTCTCCCCCCAGATGGTTACGCTTTTTCTCAGGAGGAGCACGGGGTTGTTTCACAGTCTCAAGTTGTTCGGTCCTACGACACTACAAAGCAGAGAGCCGGAGTGGAATAACATGGACTTCTCCCTGTGATTGGTGGCTGGAGGAAAAAAGATGTGCATCAATGTGTCCACTGTGAATACACCCTTGAGTAAGGCTGGCAGCAGCAATGTAAACACCGGAAAACTTTTTACTGTGGCCTTAGCCAACAAGTTTGTTCTCTATGCTGCTTCCAGACCTTGAGCACACTTTGGTGGGAAGTGGGGGGGGGGCAGTCCTTGCCAGAAGCCAGCTGTTCTTTTGGTTTACATAGTTTATGAAACATTTGCCTCTGCTACCCAAGGTGTGATGCTGAAAACATTTTGTTTCTATTGCCATTTTTCAAAAGGCAGGGCAAAGGGCATTTGTGGTTTTGGAGAGAAAAATGAAAAAGGTGATAAGGCCCATCGCTGATCTAGCTTTGCTGAATTCAGACTTCTCATTTTGTCATGCCCAGACTTAGCTGCATGTATGAAGCCTTTATAATATTCACTGTTCATTTCACTGGAATATTTACAGAGAGGCAAAGAAGTGCAGAGAAGCAAATATAACTCAAAAAAAAGAGGAGAGGAAAGAAATAAGGCTCCAGAACAACCATCATCAGCTTGTCTTGGAATGGATCAACAATATACAAAATACTTTATAGAATTCTTAGCTGTTTACACAAATCACACACAGACATCCACAATAATTTACTCTGCTGTAATACTATCTATCACCCAAGTCATTTGAATGGCAGGCCTGTATCTCAAAACTACAGCTGAAGTGCAGTGAGGTCAATCTGCTCTGGTATGAAACAGTAATAATTCTAAAGAAAAAAATATCTTAATGTTCTGAGGAAGAGACTAAGAAAGCATCTAGCTTTTAAGTCAATTTAACATTTTGTCCCCACTGTGGCTCATGACTTAAAAAATTCCAGTGCTCATGTGCAGAGACAAGCTGGTGCCTTAACATCTTCTGCTTGTGAAGCTGATTAGAACTTCTGAGAGACAATATAAGGCTACATGTTGGACTAAGTGGACCTTAAGAAATAATGGAAAGATCAGAAAAGTACTACATGTCCTTATTAAGGTGACCCCCAAAGTTTTTGCTGCTGTGTAACAAGATCTCCTTTTGAATAAACACAGTGAAAAAGTGACCTCCTCCCTTGAGAAAATATATCAAGGAAATAAATGAAGACTTAACCTGTAGTAAGTTAAGCATCTCTGTTTCTATTCACCACTTGGAGAAATGGCATAAGATGATTTAAATGTTGTGGGAAGTATTGCAACAAGTAGAGGGAAATTTCAGTTAGTGATGATGGTTGTTTATTTTTCTTAAAATCAACCCCAAGGTCATGCTGTGGCCACTTCAGGGAACATTGTCCTGTGAGGATTGGCTATACAAATACATCCAGATTGTATTGCAAAGTATTCGGCTAATATTTTGGTTGTCTACTTCTGGCAGGGCTTTCTGTGCTGTGAAGATAGTTCTGTTAAAGAGAAGGGAGCACTTTTAGTAAAGGAGCTTTTGTTTGGTAATAATTCTACCTGTCATGTATTGTTAACATCACAAAAATCCTACCAGAAAAATAAGTTGACATGCCTAGTTAGCGTGCCAGTAAGCAGTTGTGTTCACAGGTCCACAAAAAGAATATCCTCCAAACTTTTCTTCTTCACAGTATTTTAATTTCTGGATTTTTTTTTAAATGAAAGTGAGACATGAGTAAAGCCCTTAGAGTCACCTGGTACTGCTATCTAGGCAAGCCTTAGTTAGTCCTAGCAGCCTCACTACATTTCTGAATAGCTTAAGATAAATACCATTGCAACTTTGTCCTCAGGTGCATCAGCCGGTTTTCCTGTGTGCTGTATATAAGGCCTTAAAAACATTGACACTTTATTAGTCCTTTTTGCTGACAGTCCTCTGGAACATAGGTAGATCTGAGAAAATTTGGTTACAGAGAGATCCACTCATCCAGCAAAAAGAAGTTAACCATCTCTTTACCTAGACTGAAGGCACAGTGCTTGTCATTATTCAGTACGTACCACTTCTAAGAATTAACATTTTCCTGTAGATTTTTTTTTACTCCACACATTCTGAAGGTTTTCCTTGGACCATAACTGGGAAGGACATAGCATCTACTAACACTACATGAGCTTTCAAAATGATTTGGGAGAACTTATTTAGGCCTTGTACACACGCAGCACCTCTTTTCTGTTCTTTAAAACAATCTGATTTTTTTTCAGACTTGACTGTTGCTTTAAGAAGTCCATTCATTAAAGTGCATCTGATTCTTAGAGGAGCAACATTTTTTTTTCAGGTTCACACAGTATTGTTCACTATGAGTAGAGTTGCCTTCAGTGAGATGGGCAACACATAAGTTTAATAAATAAAAAGAAGCATGGTGGCCCAAACTTCTGGTCATTGCTGTCTAGTTTAGAGAACAAAGGAAGAAAAATGATTATAATATTGTAAGCACTGATGTTGGGTTTTCTTGCAGCTAAACCTGGTAAAAATATATGAATAAGCTGAATTTAAAGCACTGCCTGCTTATTCTTATTAATATAATTAGCTTCATAAAAAGCAGGAAGAATGCCAATTGTTTAAAATAATCAAAGAAATAAAGACAAAAATAAGTTAGAGAGGTCTGTTAAAAAAAAATAAAAACTTTCTGGGGCAGATTGATGAAATTACTTTACATAGGACTTAGAATGGCCACCCTACCCACCAAATATTAGCAGTCTTATCTACTACCCCATTATGTTTATATACATATATAGTAATATAATTTAGACACATTTATCCATATCAGTAGGTAAAAAAACCAATTGTCCTTCTAGAATTCAGAGCTTAAAATTTGAACAGTTGAAACTATAACTATACTGCAAAACTTAGGCTTCAATCCTGGGAGTAAGACCCATTTATTGCATTGAGTCTTACTTCTAAGGAAACTTGCAAAGCGTTAAGATGCTGTTAAACAATACATTCTGCCAGTTTAGCTAATTAATTTCTCCTCACAACTTTAAGAATTAGAGAACTTAGACAAATCTACACCAAAAAAGTTAAATTCACAGAATTATTTGAAAAGAAGCTCCTTACAGGATTCACAATGAAATCAATTCTTTACAGTTGGTCCTCAAGTTACAACCATTTGTTCAACCTTTCAAAGTTCAGACAGTGCTGAATGAATGATACTCACGACAGTCCTCCACCATTCTCAACAGTCGTGTGACTATAGCTCCTGGCTCACAATTGTAATGTCGCAGTGAGTCACAATCTTGTGATTTTATTTCCAACATTCTCTCTGGCTTCCACAAGCAAAGTCAATGGAGAATTCAGAGCTAGCAGTCATGTGAGATCCTCATTCAACAACCCAGGTAATCCTCATTTAACTATGGGAACTGGGACTGCTGGAATTGCTGTCACCAAGCAATACATCCAGTAACACCTCGCTTTATTACCATGTCACTTACTGATGGCAGATCTGGTCCCAAATGCCATCATAAACTGAGGACCACCTATATTTGCTAACTCTGTGTTGGATTTTGACTTCTATTTTAGCTTACCAGATCTTGGCTGCAAAAACCAAGACAACCACAAGATATCAGCAAAGAGATATAAAAAAAAAACTATCTAGATTTTTGCAGACTGGATCTGATAGCCCTATTGTTTATACCCATCTTGAGGTTACTCACCTAGTATTTTTGATCTAGGTCAAAATCATCTAGTTCTTTTCCTGTGGTATATGTCTCACATTCCGATTAAGTCATTTTTCATAACTTCAGATCTGCTTTAAGGCAAGTGAAAATGAGCAGGAACTGTCTGAAATGACTTTGTCCCAAATAAACAGACTTTTGTGGGCGTATTTCAAAGATCTGAAATTATTGTCAGAAAACTCAGTATTTCCAAATTTCCTCCTCTCTCTTTTGGAAAAAACCACATTTGTAGTGTAGCTTAGAGCATTATAGTGGTTGATGTTTAAATCTATTGGCAAGTAAAATGAAGCAATCCCAAACCAGGAAGATATCATCAGTTTCCCTCAGAGAAGGAACCCAACATTGTTGAAAGTATACAAATTCACCTCTTCTGATCCCACCAACCTTGCAAGTCTCACATATGACACTATTCAGTACCATTAACAATGCTCACATGGTCTTTCTAGCATGAAAAAGAAATATGGAGGTTTCTGTCATTTTTGTTTGCTTATTTTTCATTTGTTGGGAGGGGAGATCAAGTCTAACAGCAGTCCCACTTTCCTTTGGGAAGACATGAACAGGTAACTATATGAAAACAACTGACATATTCTGCTTTTATGTAACCTTTCAAAACTGTAATAATTTATTGTGTGCAAAGACACAGCTTTATCATATCTAGTGTTTATGTAAATAAAAAGCCTTACCTTTATATATACACACATATATAATTGTATTTTAAAAATGCCAAGTAAATACTTCTTCTGTCTTATCTTGAAGTTTCAGTATATGAATTTGATATTTATATTTATTACATATAACACACTAGGTAGTTATGCCCTGCCTTCTTCTCAATGCATCATGACAAGAATTATGTCTGTTTAATTAGAATGAGTCTCAAATAATTCACAGAGGATTTCTTTGTGGTTTCCCAAACTGTTAATGAATTTCAGCCTATTTAGTCACATAGAGTATATCTTCTACCCAAATTCTCTATACTGTACACTAACTGTTCTTCCAATCCAATTATATTAGCATTGTTCAAGGAAAGCAACAACTCACTTAGTTCTTGGTCTTTCTATTGCTTTCATCCATATAAATGGACATTTTTACATCTGACTCTAAATTCCCCATAAATATTTTTTAGTACTTTTGGCTCTTCCAAACAGATTTGCAGAATTCTTCATCTTCCCAAAAATCCCAAAGGAGCTTTTTCAAAAGGCAACTGGACTTTATTTTTCCTTGAAGTTATTTCACTTCTCATCCAAGAAGTATCTTCAGTTCTGACTTCAAGGAAAAATAAAGCCCAGTTGCCTTTTGAAAAAGCACTTTTGGGACAACCATGACGTGGATGACTGAGAATCTCCATTGACATCTTCCGAAAAGCAAAATGCATTTTCCACCTCATCATATCCAATTTTATTATTGTCTGTTTTGGAAGCCATTGTCAATGCCTCTGCTTTATTTTTTTTAAAATCCTTATTGAATTATTTTAAGAAACTCTTTAATCTTGAATTTAACATATAAGGAACGGTTGCTGGAATTGGGCATGTCTAGTTTAATGAAGAGAAGGACAAGGGGGGACATGATAGCAGTGTTCCAATATTTCAGGGGCCACCACAAAGAAGAGGGAGTCAAGTGATTTTCCAAAGCGCCTGAAGGCAGGACAAGGAGCAACGGGTGGAAACTAATCAAGGAGAGAAGCAACCTAGAACTAAGGAGAAACTTCCTGACAGAACAATTAACTAGTGGAACAACCTGCCTCCAGAATGTTCCAACACTGGAAGTTTTTAAGAAGAAATTGGACAACCATTTGTCCGAAATGGTATAGGGTTACCTGCCTGAGCAGCGGGTTGGACTTGATGACCTCCAAGGTCCCTTCCAACTTTATTATATTATTATTATTATTAATCCAAAATCCATAGACACAAAAGCAGTTTTTGAAAGCATTTCTAAACTGTGTTATAACATCGTTTGGAATGTAACCCTCTGATCCCTTGGAGCAGGGTCCCTGCCTTGGAGGAAATGGCAGTACCATCTGAATAGAACATCCTGGAGGATTGTAAAGCTTCTCATTGGGAAGGTTTCTGCTCTGAAGGTGCTCCAGCAGCAATGAAAGTAAAAAGCAGGGCACCCAAAAGCCATTTTGTGGAGTGGAACCGTTGTTTCTTTTTAAACAGAACCCTACAGCATGAAAAAAGTTAAGTGAAAAACAAAGGGAGATATATAGTATTCTATACTGACTGATGGCTTTCTACTATGGTTTCTTTCTCTCCTGTTTATATCAGATTGTTTTACTTTTTGACCAGTTTTGATATGTAGCATGGCCTTCAAATGGAAAGGAATGGCATATTTTTATTACAAAGAGAAAAGTAAATAGAGGGAAAAAAAACCCAAAGAAACAATACATCATCTCTCTTCTCCACTGAGATACAAGGGGCATTCCATCATGAAAGAAGAAAAAGAAACTGCTTTTTTCTGCTTGCACCTAGCCATGATTCAAATATTCCTGGGCAATGTCTTTGTTCTGCTGCATCCCCTATATTGCTGTTTTCATCTTTTACCCGAAGGCATCAATAAATGAGAAAAACTTAAGTCATCCTTAGTTCTAACAGAACCAATCTCAGTGTTTCCCCCCCCCCTTTGTTCTGAAACAGTCCAACAGCAGTCTGCAGCTATATAAAATCTGTTAGGCTTTGTCACTCATTTGTCATCAATTAGAGCCGGGGTCAACAGGGAGGGTAGTAACTTTCATAACAACATGGTGTTCTGCGAACTTTAAAAAATGGGTGGATTGCATCAACTCAGCTGTATGGAAAGGCTCCTAATCAACTCTTAATTATAATTCCGATGGTTGGTTTTCATAAATTTCCAAAAATTAGCTCTAAAAAGAGGAATAAGTAGAATTTTCCAACCTTGTAATAGCTAATCTTTGGGGGAAGTATGATAGGGATCAATAGATAGATACAGGTAATCCTTGGGTTACACCACTGTTCAACCGTTCAAAATTACAATGGCACTGAGTGAAGCGGGGCTGGGGCTATGACCAGTCCTCAAAATTGCAGCTGTCATAATGTCCCCACCACAATTCAGGCATTTGGCAATTGGCTGCCAATTATAACAGTTGTAGCATCCCACAATCACATGATGGTTAATTGCGACTTTCCCTGCCAGCTTTGTACAAGAAAAGTCAATAGGAAAGCTGGCAGGAGGTTGCAAGTTCTTCCCATTCCCTGGGCAGTATGGGGATTTGGTACTCTGCATGCCCACCTGCCCACCCACTTGCATTCCCTAGCACCTGCCCACACTCTGCAGTGCCAGCCCACAGTGTAGCCTGCCCACCTGCAGTCTGTAGTACCAACCTGTGGCATCCCATTGCTACTCCGTAGCACCTACTGCTCATAACTCTCACCTGCCAGCCTGCTTCTTTGGAACATGGTTTCAACATTGCTTTCACCTCACTCTCATGTGAGTACTCACTTAAAGACTTGCATAGTCTCCACTTAACAAAGGCAATGGGACAGCCAGGATTGCTGTCACTAAGTCACTAAGCAATGCAATCGTGTGATGGTGCAATGTTTACAACAGCATCACTTAATGATGGAAATTTCAGTCCCAATTGCCATTGTAATCCAAGGACCATCATTAGCAGACAGATAAATATATGCTGGAGATACTGGAGTAAATACAGCAACATATCAAATTATATCACTGCAGAACATAGATGACAGCTTCTTAGTTTCTAGGTAGGCTAGACTCCTGTTTCTTGAACCATTTGTGGCTCTCTGCTGCAAGTTGGTCTTGGGCAATTTCCCTGCCTTGGATCTTCAAAATGAATGGGAGTGCAACTTCTGTTATGCAAAGGTACAGAATGTAGATGTAATGAAAACTATAATTGAAGAAATCTGAGAACCTCAGAAATCTGGCCTAAATTTATAATTCAACAAAAGCAACAAATAAGCAGCAATTTGTTTCAGGGACCTTGTCTCTGTTAAATTACAAAGTTGTATCTTCTCAAATTCTATTATTTAGTATTACACACACACACACACACACACACACACACACACACACACACACACTTTGACTTGTCTTTTTCTTGGTGCAGCTATAAACTGAACCATACCAAATCACTTGCATTGCTCCTCATTGTTTCATGTAGACATTCCCTCTTCCATCTTACACAGGCATTGCTGTGACCCCTTGAATGTTGCTGGCAAATAGGAATGCTGAAGAAACTGAATGCCATTATTGACATGAGAGTAGAACAGAAAGAGGCAAGGATATCAAAGTTATAAAAGGAACTCTTCATTTTTAGGCTTATTAGACTTAACTGGGTGATTTCACTAAGAGGAACTTCCAGATCTAGTAATGACTTTAGTAATGAATCAATTCAAAAAGCTTTTGCAAGATTAAATAGAAAGCATGGATGGTAGACTCTTGTGTATAATACAAACATACAAAAATATACCAAACTTTTGCTACTGCTCTCTCACTTATTTGATGTCAGATACTACTGAAACACCTTCTGGTTTCACTTCCAAAACAGGATTTTTACTCCAATAAATCAATAAAAACTCTTGGGGACTCCACAAGGATACAATGTGATGCAAAGCAGAAAGCAGCCTCTCTTCAAGCCAAAAAGCAAAGTGTTTTGTTGCAACATTTAGTGGGGCAAAAAAGTATTTAGTCAGCCACCAATTGTGCAAGTTCTCCCACTTAAAAAGATGAGAGAGGCCTGTAATTGTCATCATAGGTAGACCTCAACTATGAGAGACAAAATGAGAAAACAAATCCAGACAATCACATTGTCTGATCTGGAAAGAATTTATTTGCAAATTATGGTGGAAAATAAGTATGTGGTCAATATCAAAAGTTCATCTCAATACTTTGTTATATATCCTTTGTTGGCAATGACAGAGGTCAAACGTTTTCTGTAAGTCTTCACAAGGTTGGCACACACTGTTGCTGGTATGTTGGCCCATTCCTCCATGCAGATCTCTTCTAGACCAGTGATGTTTTGGGGCTGTCGCTGGAAAACACGGACTTTCAACTCCCTCCAAAGGTTTTCTATGGGGTTGAGATCTGGAGATTGGCTAGGCCATTCCAGGACCTTGAAATGCTTCTTACAAAGCCACTCCTTTGTTGCCCGGGCAGTGTGTTTGGGATCATTGCCAGGCTGAAAGACCCAGCCATGTTTCATCTTCAATGCCCTTGCTGATGGAACGAGGTTTGCACTCAAAATCTCACGATACATGGCCCCATTCATTCTTTCCTGTACATGGATCAGTCGTCCTGGTCCCTTTGCAGAGAAACAGCCCCAAAGCATGATGTTGCCACCCCCATGCTTCACAGTAGGTATGATGTTCTTTGGATGCAACTCAGCATTCTCTCTCCTCCAAAAGTTTCTACCAAATAGTTCTACTTTGGTTTCATCTGACCATAGGACATTTTCCCAATCCTCTTCTGGATCATCCAAATGTTCTCTAGCAAACTTCAGACTGGCCCGGACATGTACTGGCTTAAGCAGGGGGACACGTCTGACACTGCAGGATCTGAGTCCCTGGCGGCGTAGTGTGTTACTGATGGTTGCCTTTGTTACGCTGGTCCCAGCTCTCTGAAGGTCATTCACTAGGTCCCCCCATGTGGTTCTGGGATTTTTGCTCACCATTCTTGTGATCATGTTGACCCCATGGGGTGAGATCTTTCGTGGAGCCCCAGATCAAGGGAGATTATCAGTGGTCTTGTATGTCTTCCATTTTCTAATTATTG